GCGGCAGTCTTCCGTGCCAGCTCTGGTTCCTGCCACTCTGGTAGGTGCGTGGGCTCCTTGGGTTCCCTCGCAAACGTGCCACAGCCTGCAGGGAGCTGCAGGTGTGCCCCTCTGGTGCCGTGGGGTGGATGTCCTTCTGCCCAGCCTTGCATTGAACTTGGCGTTGGGCTTCCAAAGCAGCAGCTCTTGTGCCCAGACCCTCTCAGCCAAGCACCGCTTCTCTTCTCCCATCAAGACTCGAGCCATCAAGACACAGGCCGGTAGAACTTCCCGTCTGAAAGGACGCTGAAACTGTGGACTTTCCTCCTTCTGAGCTCAAGCTCAGAAGAGCCTGGTTTCCTACGAGCAAGGGAGGCACAAGAAGAAAGGTACCTGAAACAGCCGCCGGAAACCAGATTTAGTGACTCATACCCGGCAACGTCCATCAGTCACGCTCCAAGCTGGGGGTTTCAGCGGTGTTGTGTCAGCCACACGTGGCGGAGCAAACGAAGCAGTTATGCCCGATGACCACATAAAATAATGGCATCATGGACAATGATAAAGAGTCATGCAGCAGCAGATGGAAGGGAAGAGTTCCAGTTACGCGGTGGAACCGTTAGCGACATAAACTGTCTGGGGTCTTCGCTGGGTCAAACCAAACCAATTTCACCAGGCGAAGGGTAACAAGAGTTCTTATCCTTTTAGCCAGAAGACCCGAGCCAGTCCATTCCTGCTGTCCAGCAAAGCAGCTCCTTTTGGACATGAGTGTGGTGGTTTTGGGAAGCAGCGATTTCAAAGCACGAGAGCCCTTGTTTGCCACGAACACCTAGAAAATCAAGAACCAGGAATCGATAAAAAATTTCTTCGCCTTTTGGTTTCTTTTATTAACAGAACTTTAGAGATCTTTTTATGCGTGTTACTTGTAAAAAATCACAATACTCCACACAAAGGGAGCAGATGGTAGGGAGCTGGAGATTGGCTGAATGCACTCGTAACCGCCAAACAGCCTTGTCTTGGATGTAAAACTCGAATCTAATTGGGCTTTGTTGGTCCAATTCTGTGTAGTATATATGTGTCGCTCTTCTTTGGTCAGTGGAGAAGGAATTGCCCTCAGAAATTATTACCATAGTCTCTCTACTTATTGATGATCAGGAGGCACTGTCATAATTAGCCCTGTAATCAGAAGTAACGGAGCATACCCGACTGAAAATCATGCAAAAAAATTAGGAGACGATTAAAGACTGGTCTCAAGGTTTTCTCGTGGGACGTTCAGGGTGTACTATATATATGCTCGGTGTGGTAAGTTCGTCAATTCATGTTACTCTTCGTCTTGGAGGTACCTTCTCTGTTGACTGGACATGATTATGACTCACGCTGAACCTATCAACTGCAAAGGTGCATGAGATGGGAACTGGCACTTGAGCCAAAAGTAGGCCGAGGAGGTAGCCTCATGTGAGCATCCTGCCTCTATATGAGATTATGATTAATTAGACCAATTACTTCTCTTTCTGAAAGTTTTGAATGAGACATTGCTTAGCGAGAGCGGGATGTATTAATACGTTCACGCAATAGGAACCTGGTCTGTTTTCTTTGGCCTGATTTTGACTATTGTTTGCCAGTCAGTGACCTCTTTACTTGATATGCTAGGAGGCATGGGCAATGCAATATAGATATAATTCTCATTAAATTGTTGATACAAAATAATTGTTCATGATATGTGAGTGCTCACTCTTGCTTAATTGCTTACAGAAATGGACATTTATGACTCCTTTTGTTATTGTCATTTTGGAAAATATGTATCATGCAATCTTACTACTTTTACTTTTGTCTTAATCAATTTTGAGTGCGTTGTTTCGTCATCTTCCTTAGTGATGTTGTAAAAATGTGACTTATTAAATCTGACTTGTTCAATCCTATTGTTTGTTCGCAGTTAACCTCACTTCGAATCTCCCCTTATGAGTAAAGTTGTGGCTTTATATAATATATAATTATAAGCAGCAGAAAGTATATATTTTTGAGCTGCAATGGAATATATGTATCTTGGTGGTGCTTTACATTCTCACAATATGATGAAATCTGAGAGGTAGGAAAAGTGATAACAGGGCAAACATTTACGTCATATACCCTGCACCCCGGCACGTTTCGCTGATAGTAGGATTCTCAATGCACAAGGCAGTCACGGCCAATCTAAACTGTCATATCGAATATAATTCTGCCCAAAGAGAATAGCGTATGGTTTGGCTGCACATCTCTAGGGATGCTGTGCGCTCTTGTGGACTTTTGAAAATGCATAATGACCTGGTAGCCACTAGTATAGTTCAAGGGTTTAAATTTATTTATCAAAACTAATAGATTCACACTCATGTGAGTAAGCCGCTATTCAGAACTGCCCTTACAAAAGCCCCTTGTTCTCCACACTACTCTAATTTCCTGGGCTACTCCTACTATATCCTCGGTGACCACTGGCAACCCATAAGTCTCTCCATGTGGCATAATGAACGACATGATTATGTCTCCTCCAAGTTTGGTTGTGTCTTCTCAACAGACTAGTGTGTTTTGCCTTATAGTTGTTGGGATACTTTTACAACAGTAACTGATCAACCAATTAAACACTATTTCTCCTCCCCTCCCCTTTTTCCCCTCCCCCTTCCCCTTCTCTCCTTTCTACTTCCTCCCCTCTCCTTTCCACTTCCTCCCCTCTCTTCTCCTTCCCTCCCCTCTGCCTTGCCTTGCCCTCCCCTCCCTCCCTTTTTCTTTTCTTTTCTTTTCTTTTCTGGCTGTTTTCTCTTCTCCCTTTGTAACAAAAACCCAGATTGCTTTTTGGAGAAATTATCTCTCCACTATGATGTGGCCCTTGTAGTTTAGTAATGCACAAGTCATGCCCTCCTATTTCAGAAACTGAAAGAGCCCTGGAAACCTCTGCTGCAGATGTTCCCTGTCAACATTCTAGAACAGACCGGGGGCAGGCTTGTGACCTAGGACATGGAATTCTCAGCAAAGGGTCATCGTCACAAGATTCTACGGCTGCCAATTCAATCCAGTTGGTGGGGGACGGGCGCACTTAGGTGAGAATGATGAACAGTTTCTTCTACCAGAAGCATCTATCTGTCTAAATCCCAGGGTTCATCAGTCTTCCCACTAATGAGCCCCTTATATAATAATACATTCCTTTTCTGCCTTTCAGTCAGTTTCTATTGCTTGCAACCAAAGACCCCCAACTGAGAAACATCTATGCCCCAAGGTTTTTGATTTTGTGTTTTTTTTTTTAAAAAATAAGAATTGAATGAGAGTGTATATTAGCTTAATCGAGTCCAGAAAGGCAGGGGGGAGAATCTTGATTTCCAGTTTTCCTCTTTTTCTTCCATCTTACAACTTCTGCCTCCTTATTTTTGCTAGCAACTGTCCTGTTCCTCCAGCCAAAATATTTTTTTTTACTTAAAAAATGCTTTATAAGCATGGTATAATTATCCATACTGATATGCTGTGCTGTAGAATTCCTTTGGAGAACAGACAATATGAATTGCAAGGAGCTGGGAATTAACTTATCATCTGTTTTGAAGAGACGTGTGGGGTGTGGAGTAGAACTTTCTCATTGTGGCTCAAAAATTGATCCTAATTGCTGTTTTTATTGCTGGTTTAGCTGATGCTGCGTTTAGTTATTTATATTTTCTCTGTTTCTTAAGTGGCTTGTGCAATGGCATGTTTGACTCCACCCCTGACAGATTTACTCAAGCATTTAAAAGATATCTACATACTCATGTAGTTGGGTGACTGAGAAAAAATACTTCAAACCCAATAATTCCAGTTTTGCTTACAATAGTGAGACTATAGTATGTTTTGGTGAGAATAGTGCTTAAAAATCTAAATAAATTCTCTTAAATACTGATGAACTCACTTTGACTACAAAGATATAGCTAGAGTACAGTAGTTAAGGGAGTTGGCTTTGGAGGTAGATAGACCTTGGTTTAAAGCCTAGTCTGCCACTTATAAACCATCACTGTAGGAAAGAGTTTAAAATGCTAAGGTGTGAAACCTTAAGAATTCTAGGAGAAAATGTTGGGAAAACTGTTACAGACAACAGCCTAGGCAAAGAATTTATGAAGAAGACCCCCAAAGCAAATCACAGCAGCAACAAAAATAAATAAATGGGACCTGATCAAATTAAAAAGCTTCTACACAGCTAAGGAAACTATCACAAGAGCAAACAGACAACCTACAGAATGGGAGAAAATATTTGCACGCTACACATCTGATAAAGGGCTGAGAATAAGAGTCTATACAGAACTTAAGAAAATTAAAAATAAAACAAAAACCCATGAAAAAGTGGGCAAAGGACATGAACCGAAACTTTTCAAAAGAAGACAGAATAATGGCCAGCAAACATACAAATAAGTGCTCAGCATCTCAAAACAATGAGATATCACCTAGCTCCAGTGAGAATGGCCTTTATCAAAAAGTCCCCAAACAACAAATGCTGGTGTGGATGTGGAGAGATAGGAACATTCTCACACTGCTGGTGGGACTGCAAATTAATACAACCCCTGTGGAAAGTAATTCAGAGATAACTCAAAAAACTAAAAATAGAAATACCATTTGATCCAGCAGTCCCACTACTAAGAATCTACTCAAAGTTAAAAACAACATTCTATAATAAAGACATCTGCACTCGAATGTTTATGGCAGCACAATTCACAATTGCAAAGATGTGAAACAACCCAAGTCCCATTACATGGAGTGGATAATAAAGCTTGTATAGTATACCATGGAATACTACTAAACTGCAAAAAACAATGGTGATCTAGCACCTCTTGTATTATCCTGGATAGGCCCATCCTTCGAAGTCAAGTATCACAAGAATGGAAAACAACACCACATGTATTTGCCCCATCAAATTTGATCAGTACTAACTGATCAAAACTAAGGAGCTCACATGAAAGTAATAATATTCACCAGTGCCGATCAGGTGGGAGGGGGTGTTGGGGTGGGGTAAACTCACAGCTAATGGATTCAGAGTGCACTGCATGGGGGAAAGGCATGCTTATAGCTCTGGCTTGGAGTAGGCAAAGGCATTATATGTAACCAAAAATGTACCCCCATACACATTCTGATATTAAAAATAAAATAAAAGAAATGCTAGACCACACAGGAGGCTTTCTGCTTGGATGGGCTTAATAGGCTGAGCCAAAGGGTCTTAGGGGTAAGCTGATGAGGCCAAACAGTGAACCAGGAGTTGGCGGCCTCTTGGAGAGAGAAGATGAAGGCTCCCTCCTCGCGCCTCTCATCTCTCTCTTTTTT